TCTTTGTAATTTGAAAAGTGAGGAGCTCATTTGTAATATACATACATAATAGAGAGTTTGACTGAATTGTATAGTTTGACTTTCTCTCTCGTTGTTCTTAAAGTTCATATTGTGTTCTTACAAGATTTACATCAGATCTGCCATTGTTATGAACTATTATGAAGATTGATCAGTGATTTTGGACTCACACAATGTATTACACTCTGGTTTCTTTTGGCCAACACTTTTTCAAGATGCTCATAATTTTTTCAAAAGATGTGATGAATGCCAGAGAAGTGGCTCAATTTCCCAAAGAAATGAATGCCTTTAAATGGAAGGTTGAATTATTTGATGTTTGGGGAATTGATTTCATGGGACCTTTTTCTCCATCTAATAATTGCCAATACATTTTAATCGCCGTTGACTATGTGTCAAAATGGGTGGAAGCAGTGGCATGTGTTTCAAATGCAAAAACCGTGGTTAAGTTCCTCCACAAACAAATATTCTCAAGATTTGGAACCCCAAGAGCACTAATCAATGACGAGGGTACTCATTTTGTAAATCATTTGTTGCATGAAGCTCTTGAAAAATACAACATTAACCACAAAGTTGCCACCGCATATCACCCACAGACTAATGGATTGGCAGAACTTTCAAACCGGGAAATAAAATGAATTATGGAAAAAGTGGTTAAACCAAGCAGAAAAGACTGAGCTTTTAAACTGGATGATGCTTTATGGGCATACAGAACTGCATTTAAAACTCCAATTAGTATGTCTCCATACAAGCTTGTTTTTGGAAAAGCATATCATCTTCCGGTGGAACTTGAACATAAGGCCTATTGGGCAATCAAGGAATTAAATATGTGCCTAGATGATGCAGGGAATAAAAGAAAATTGCAGTTATGTGAAATGAAAGAGCATAGGAACATGTCCTATGAGAATGCCAAGTTGTACAAGGAAAAGACGAAACAGTGGCATGACAGAAGAATTCAACAGCGAGAGTTAAAAGCAGGACAACAAGCTTTATTGTTCAATTCTAGATTAAAACTGTTTCCAGGTAAATTAAAAACTAGGTGGTCAGGACCGTTTCTAATCCACAAAGTTTACCCACACGGAGCAGTCGATCTAGTGAACCTTGAGGATAACAGTCTGTTTAAGGTAATGACCAAAGAATAAAAATTTATTTGGATGAGCCCAAAAACCAAAAATACCCCGTGTGAGTTTTTCTACATAAAATAAGGCACATATATATATATATATATACATATATATATATATACATATATATATATACATATATATATATATATATCGTACTAATATTTATAAGGATGTATGTTTGTAAATAAATATTTATATATATTACTAATATAAATATGTGTATAATATATATATATATATATATATATATATTCGGACTACCTTGTTCTTTGTAAAGCCGAAATCGGCAGTCTTCTTGAGAAAGGTCTTATAAGACCTTCCCAATCCCCCTGGTCTTGCACTGCCTTTTATGT